GACTGATTCATTGCAGAAGTGTCTTAGCTGAAGAGATGGGATTGATTTGTGCATATAAGGTCAGACGACACAATAAACTAGATAAAAACTCAGTACACCAGTAACACGTACATCCAGCTCCAGCCCAGCCGCTGCAGGTTGGCATCCTCTCCATAGCAATGTGCACATGACATTAACAGGTTCACACCACCCTCGAGGTCCTGCTGGCACCGCTGTCAGGTTGCATTTCAGAACAAAGGCTATCAGGCTGTTCCCACACCCAAAAGTCCCCTGGGCTAGTAAGAAGCAGCTCTCAGTCAGCGACACTGTGGTAGAAGATACAACTCAAGGCAAGTACTCAGATGGTCTTCACCCAGGAGACAGGTTCAAGGGAAGCTCAAACTGGCCCAGTTTCTTTCAAAAGCAGCATCTGTCTGCCCCAGACTTGAATCACATTGCCTTGTCAGCACAAAACACAGAAAAGCATGTTACACTCACTAGAGTTCAGCTCCCAGGGCCACCCTTGCAAAGCACAACCATCAGACGTAAGTCGGAAGCGTGCATGGCCTTCCCCCATTACTCACTCACGTGACACGATGAAACCAAGGCAATCTGTCATCCTTCCATCATCTTTTGTGCAAAGTCCTACCAACAGTTCTGCTCAGCATTTAGTGCTCAGGCTGCCACCAACTCTAGTGAAAGCAGCTCTGACAGGTAAGATGAGGAAAAGAGAGGAGAAGCGTGGGCTTAGCGCTGCACCCTTGGCCACTCTGCAGGGCCAAGTGGCTGTTCAGAGAGGAGAGTGGGAAAAGCACTTCATCTTTTAAGTTATCAGACATGTGGCCATCTTGAAGAAGCTTAGCAGTAAGGGTTTAATGGGACTGATCACAGAAACCAGAGGGGTTTCTGAAAAGGGGAATCTTTTAGGTCTGACAAGCACACACCAAGTAAACACCCAAGCTCTGGCAGATGCAGCAGAGCTGGGAATATCTGGCTGGCATGTTTCCTGCAACAAAGATGCTGTCTACAACCCAGGGGACAAAACACACTCTTTAAACAAGGGCATTACCTTTGTCAGAAAAGGAAACTGAGGCAAGGAACAGCTTTCGGTTGCCTCGTGCCAGGCTGAGGCAGCACCAGATGAACAGCTAGTTTTTAAAATAAAACCAGAACTCCTGAGCCATATGCTGTGCTACCAGACAATGTGTTTTATAAAAAGCACATCTGGGAACAAAAGCAGCTCTGTGTGAAGAAAGCATTCACACTGTGCCTCTACTGAACGACATTACATCTCTCTAAAGCAACTGGTTCAATTAAAATTTTGAATGAAGCTCTTGCAATAGCTAGTCACCAAAAATGGGTAGAAAATCAAGATCATAAGTGCTTGTGCTCCTGTTCGGTGCCGCTGTTTCTCTCATAAAAATATGTGGTGTTACAGTATGTCAGCTCTCAACACATTTCTTGCTGCTGCTCCTCCTGGTTGCTGTTGGTCCGAATGACACTACCTCTTGCTTCCAGGCTGGCAGAAGCAATCAACCGCTTCATTCTCCTGACCAAAAATAAACCAAAGCCAGAGGACAAACTAAGACATTGTTTAGAGCAATGGAGACCAAGAAAGAAACATGAAGGTTTTGGGAAAGGGTAGTTTAGATGGGTGAGGAAGCGCGTGTTTGCTGGTTGCAGAGCTATTTGTATTGAAGTGGGGGTCAACCCTCCACAGCTGCCTCACCTGCTTGAAAAAAATACATAAAAAAGATAAACAAGAGGAGCTGAGAGTTTTACGAGAAGTTAATGTAAAACTTAGGTGAAGAAATTTTTCCAGTTTCACTAATCATTCCAGCAGGAATTCATCACCAGGAAGCTTAACCGACCTTGTTCTCTGCTGTGTCAGTGAATGCACAGCTCCAACTTTGCTCACCATGGATCGCAGCCAGGCAGGGGAACAGACTACAGACTGCCTGGGGAGGCCACGGGTTCTCCTGCAGAGGTGGCTTCTGAAGGCCTGGCTGGACAAACACCATCCTGGGATGAGTCAGGGCTAATCATGGAATGTCTCGAGTTGGAAGGGACGTATAAGGACCAAGCCCAACTCCTCACTTTAGGGGAAGGACTGGGCCAGGTCAGCTCATACCTTTTTTTCAAAAACAGGCCATTAAAACCCAAACAGATGTTCTTATGTGAACATATAACTAATCAGCACCTCGATTTTTGCCCATTTTTTTAATTTGATTGCAATGGAAAACATTGAGGCAATACTGTAAAACATGTTTAAGGATTGCTTTCTCATAAACATCAGTAGTCCTCCAGCTTAAAAGCTGAGGGACATGGGGAGAAATGACACTTAAAAGCCCTTTTCAGACCTCTTTTGTACAGTTCTGTAATGAGGATTTATTGTGTCATTTTGAAAATACACAAGTTCAAATTCCTCTAACTTGCTGTGGTGCAATCATAAAGGACAGTTTGTGTTCATAAAAAGTACAGAGCACTCTTTTGTTGTATTTTTGGACAGAAAAAAGCATTCCAGACAGCAAGGAGAAAACAAACAACAACAAAAAAAAGAAAAAAAAATCAACAGAAATCAAACAGTGTAATTTAAAATTGCAGGATCAGATTTTTTAAGAGTCTTACCAGTGTTTATTCCTAAACACTCAGGGTTACTGAAAGGTACATTGCCTACTTACACAAAGCCAGTGACATTGAGGACAACTTCAGGGATTTTTCTTCTCCCCGCTCTGAAAGTAGCTGCACAAAACGTTGGCAAATGAGCAACTGTCTGCTCGGATTTTGCACCCCGCAGCAGAGAAGAAAAATGTTCTTACAAATGTAGGAAAATGAGTTTGGATCATCACCAAAACCAGTCCAGAAATTGATGAACTGGTGATTTTGGTTACAAACCAACTAAACCTCAAAGCTATCACCTCATTGAAATAACCCTTCCAATTCAAAAATGCTTCTCCTCACAGATGGACTTAAACTTGTTTCCCTTGCAGCTGGAGCACTGATCACAGCTTCGACGTGGCACACGAGGTCCATGCTTGAAGCAGCAGAGTACGAACACAGAGACAGCCAATTCCCACCTGCACTCTACAACAAAGCCAAGGTAACACAGAGTCACCTCATCTTACGTTTCACAAAAATGCAATTTATAAAATCAACAGCTCATTGACTGGACGGCAGTGTCCCTCCCACACCGGGAGCAAACAGCTATTACCCACGTGGGGTGAGTCAGCTGGAACTACTTCTACACTCGCACGACTGCATGGACGTAGCTCCCGACTGCGTTACCTGCAGGAGACAGGAATGGTGTAAGCAGGACTGTCGGAGTGCAGATCCTTGAAGATTTGCAGAGACCTGCACTTTCTGATCGAGGACCGATTTTTCTGCTGCGGGGCAATCAACAACAGACATTTTACATTACCAGCGTCCCCTTACAAAATATTTATTCAACATGAAAATCTGGAAACAGACAATAGATAAAAGCTTCATGAAAACACACAGGCTATTACATGCCACTAAGTGCAGTAGCATTTGATCTTGCACGTACTTGAAATACTTTGTCAGGCACAGCTTCCACTGAGTCTCTCGTGGCATGACAGCCGGCCCTGTGCAGCTGAGGCAGAGATGCCACGGTGCTTGTGAAGCCAGCACACGGTCCCATCTCACCACCTCCAGAGGCACAGCTTCCACTCCTCTGGCCAAGGAACACCCACACATCCTTTGTACTTAAGGTTGTCAGATTGAGGTATCCAGTATCCGGGTGCATCTGCAAGCCCAGTAACAACTCTTCCAAGATTTGGATCTTGCTGTCACCTCAGTATCATTACGATCCGGCTCCTCTCCTTAGGCACTCTGCAAGGTCCACCTTCTACAGATGCTCGGAAACACCCGTAAGATGTTCAACACCTGCTTCCAAAGGACGACCATCCTGATGACCACGAGAACTATGATCTGCAGAGATGACCATCTGTCTCCAGTCCACTGGGACTTCAGAAAATCTAGGTTTAAGGGCATCCACATGGGATGATAACCAAGGTCCAACTCCAGTCACTCCTGCTGCTAAGAACTGACATTTACTAGGATCACTTAAATGAATCAGGAGGAAGGAAACTCAGTCCCTTTGCTCCACCCCTTCTATTAACCAAATTTAGTAATCAGAAGAATTTCTCATGGGAAAACAGACGGCTCAGAGGTTGACAATGGAGGAGAGTTTCCATTAAAGATGCTGCTTCTGATCCGGTCTGGACCGACTCTTCGTTGCCTTCTGTTGCCTCCTCTGTAAAACAAGTGGAGGACCGTAACACCCATCATAGAGATGGATTCGGTGCAAAAGCCACTCGCATCAAACGAGAATATTCTCAACTCCATGCAGCATCAAGCCCACAAGGGCCGAAAGGGAGAGAGAGGATGAGGTGGCACGAGACCTACACAACCACTTTGCTTGCTGCAGGGGTTAAAGGAGGTATTTCTCTCCAGAGCACTAACACTGTGTACAAAAATCAGCAAAGAAAAACATTTCTGCCTCACAAAGAGTACCTGTTCCACCTCGGTGTATAAAAAAATGGGAAAAATTCAATGCAGTTTGTACCACACTTCTTTCCACACCACTGGGGCTCTCCAAAGAACGGGAAAGCTGGAAACAGCTGTTCCCAGGAGGCTGGAATGGGAAGGGCAAGACAAAATACAAAGAATTCCACTTTTTTTCCAAACAGATCCAGTATTGTAAATATCAATTTGGGAGATAAAGAACAATAAATTATTAATTTCTCTTTTAGAAAATCCTCTCATACCCTTTCAGTTACCTAGCAAACACTTTAACTGTAAATCCTGAGGAGTGGTGTGAGTAAGCTGTAAAGCTATCCAGTGATGTGATGTGATGTGATCAATTTTTTATGCCTTTGCTGTCTGCCTTTAAAATTTGCACTAGTCTAATCCAAAAACGTGATAGAGAATAATTGTCATTAATGGAAAAGGGGGCTGTCCTTCCCCAAAGCTGATTCCTTGTTCTCTTCTCCAAGAGACAGACTGTAAATCTCTCGGTGTCTCCCACTGTAGCAGCATGTTCTTCAGGCTTTTAACCATCCGTATCTGTGAACTTTCTTTTCCCATAATTCTGGACCAGACTGGAAGCTGTGATTTGAGAAGCCTGTCCCTTTTCCCAGCACTGGAAGTCATTCAGCCCTTTCTGGCCAGCTTGAAATAAGGCTCGCTCCAGTTCATCCAGCCGAGCCACCAGCGCTGATGTGTCTTCATTGTAGGCATTCTGAGAGGAGTCCATGATACGACGAAAACGGCTAATAAACGTCTAAAGAAGACAAGCAGAATTACTGACAGGTACCACGGAGGCTTCTTCAGCTCAAATGCTAGAGGCCCGAGCTTTCACAACTGAGAAAACAAAGGTGTAGGCTCTAGTTCACAAGCAGTCAAGGGTCTGCAAACAGCGGAGCACCTATTAACCTTGGATACAAAGACAAACCATTTCCTGCCTGAGCTGGGAGAGCAAGTGCCTGATATCCTGGATGGGAGCAAGCACAGAATTAGATTTTGGCTGTGGAACACAGGGTGTAATTACGATTTATTCTGTCTCACTTCACAAGCAAACATTGCTTGAGAGCAGGTGGAATGACTCTTATGCCACAGCAGCTGCCGCAGGAACGTACCAGCTGCAACTTGGAAACGGCCTGGAAGTTAAGCCAAACTGCCACTGTAAAGCATTCAGTATGCTGAAAAAAAAATTCACCATGAAAAAAGCCAAAAAACAAATCTACAACTAATAAATAACATTTTAAAAAGCTCAGCAACAAGACATAGTTAAGGATTTTTATTTCTCTCCTTATCTTTACTTTTGGGAACAAAAAAAAAAGGATCAAAACTTTTTGGAAAGTAATCTTTGTTATTTCAAGAGCTGATTTTAGAATCATCAGAACTGTAGTATTTTAGAGATTTACTTATAGAATAAATATATTTTTTAAATAAGAAAATAAATAAATATATATTTGGGCAACCTGGTGTAGTGGAAGGTGTCCCTGCCCACGGCAGCGGGGTTGGAACGAGGTGATCTTTGAGCTCCATTCCAACCCAAACTATTCTGTGATTCTATGATTCTATATTATAAATTAGTAATTCTCCTTCTGGCTTTGTCACCAAATAGTTACACTTCACATTTATAGTTTCTGAATATTTGGGAGGGGTTTTTTTTGTGTGTTTTGTTTATTTTTTAATTCAGCACAACTCCCCCCTTTTTTGCTTTTAATAAAGAGAAAACGCACCTTGCACGCTTTGATTTTTCTGTCAACAAGTGATGTGTGCTAACGTGGCTTTTTTCCTACGATGTCCATTAGCAGAAAGAGAAAAGAAAAGACAAGGAAAGGTGTGGTCACCTCCTCAATGAAGAAAGCAAGCTTTCAGTGGACAACTCCGAGACAGCAGCAGTGCTTTAAAGCCTCTCTGCATCAGCGTTCATTTAAAGAATAGAGAAAGACAAAAATAAAAATAAAAAAAAAAAAGCCAATAGCAATCATCCCAGACTACTTAGAGAGCTGGCTGAAGAAATCTCAGAGCTGTTAGTGGTTATCTTTCAAAGCTCAAGGAGCACAGAAGTCCGGAAACTGGCAATGATGGTATCTATCTTTTAAAAGAGAAAGAGGAGATGTAGAAGGAGGAAGGAAGAGCCAGGGAATTATAATCCATCAGTATGAATTCCTGGAAACATACTGGAACAACTAAACTATACATAAACTTCTGCAACAAAATAAAGAAGAGTAACAGTCAACATGGACTTGCCAAGAACAAGCTTTGAGAGACCAGCCCAGCCTCCTATTTTGGCAGGATGCTGGGCCCTACAACGGGAGGGAAAGCAGCAGGGAGGTGCCAGTCTCGGGGCATGCTTACAAGGTCTAGCTAAACCACCTGTTGGTGGGGGGTAAGTTCCCCACAGCTCCTGTCAGCAGGGAGGAACATACCAAGTGGAGAATCTGGAATCGAGTACTGTTTGATATAATAATTAAGAAGCTTACTAGAAGAACAGAAGTTATGCTTAATAAACTAGCAACGCAGGAGAAGGATGAGGGATGACTGCAAGCACGTTGGGGAGCAGAGCTCTGAATTCATAACGATCCTGACAAATCGGAACGATGGTGTGAAAGCAATAGGATGTAATTCAGCTGGGACTAGTGTAAGGTTTTACATTAAGGCAGAAATAGGGAACCACACAAACGCAGGACGAGGAATGACTGCCTGCATATGCAACCCGTACCATCTCACTGTGGACTGCGAATCAAACACGTATCAATGTCACTCTACCGTGAAAAACAAGACGCTGCACCACGAAGAGCAAAGAGCATCACAGCCTACAAAATTCACAAAGTAATCTTTTTGTTTTCATCAGCACAAGTCCTGAGCAGGAGACCATACGCTGTCCAGGGCACTGCACGTCCCAGTAGACACACATCAACTGGAAAGATACCAGCAGTGCACAACAAGGACCATCAGAGGTTAGAAAGCATGACCCACAAAGAGATAACAAATGAGCTGGGACTGCTGCAGGTACAAGAGAATAACCTTTTCTCACCACGTACCATGTATGAGACAAACAGACAGGAGCTTGTACTGCTGCAAAGGAGCTTTAGTTCAGACATTAGAGGAAACCTTCTAGATTAGGATGGATCAGCACTGAAACAGATTGCCCAGAGCAGTGTGAAGTCTCATCATAACAGAGATTCAAAAACAGGGTAGAAAAATAGAAAGAACAGAGGGTGAATTAATTCTGCCTTGCAGCACAGGCACGATTAAACAATCTTACGTCTCCTCTAGTCCTGTTTTACAGGATTTTATGAAACACCACATTTACAGTGTGGAAACTCCAAGATAAAATTACACTCCTGGATGCATACTTGAGGCTTCCACCACTAGACTGTGCAGTTGCCAAAAGGGTCATCCTACAGCTTGACCTAGAAATCCCTATTCAATCCAGAAGTCACAGGATATTTTTCCTGAAGACTGCTGAGCAGCTGGGAACAGAGGAAGGTGGAAAAGTTTCAAGACATAGTTCAGATACTTGCCTGCAGGATAGTCTGAGCTATCTCAGGATTCTCTGGATTGTCAAAATTCAGGAGCTGGGAGCCAAATCCATAGTAGTATGGCCCCATTTTATGCAGATCGACCACATTGGCATCAGCGCTGAACACTGTCCTCCAGGCTTCCTTGTAAATTTTTGGCAGCTCCACAGAAATTATTCTTCTTTTGCTGTCATGTAGGCCTTTAGCAAGCCACAGTGGTATTTCCAGCTTTGATCCCTGCACGGATGAGAAAAAACAAAAGTTGTCCTCGCCATGAGAACACACATAAAGCAACCCCACAGACAGCGGTGGACTTTATTAACGAAGATGCAGTATTAGCAGAAGGCCGTTTGGTTTTCAGAACGGCCTACTGTAACAGGAATATAGACCAGACGCCCTTCAGAGGCATTAATTACTCCTGCGAGACTCTGAAAGGGGATTTTTTTATTGGTGTCGTATAATCTAATAATTGCCAGGTTATTAAACACCAGAAGGGAAAAAAACCCCATGCAAATGCATACAGTAAAAGTGAAAAAACTGGAGGGGAGCGCGCGCCTACATCTCCCAGCGTCCACCGCGCCTCCGCGCCACGGTGCGCTTC